GCCGAGCTGACCTTGCCCAAGCCCTCGGCGGGGGCCGCCAACGGCGGCGGGCAAGGCGGAGACACGGGTTTCTTCCCTCTTCCCTTCTTCGTCGGAGCCATGGTGATGGGAAGGGGGGGAAGGTTCGAGATTGGGTTGAAAACAGAAGCCGGAGTTCGAGCGGAGGAAGGACAGAGGGCGCTCGAGCAACAGAAAGGGGAACGGCTGTGTACGACTACGAGTCCGCCTAGCATGGCACAAAATAAGGAGGGCGCGGGGGAACAGTGCCGCCCACGTCCAATCAACCGCCACGCAGCGTCCAAGGCCGCCGGCTGTTAGGGCCCGCGGCGCTTCGCTCTTGCCCTTCCGCCTCCCTGCACGGCCAAGTCCGGGCGCGCCTTGGGCCCGGGGGCTACTGTCGGCGTTCTGGGAACGGGGGTCCTCAGACTTGCCTGCCTGCGGCCTGCGGCGTGGCTCAAAGGGGGCCTCAGCACGACCCATCTTCACCAACACAAACCCAAGACTCTCGCGAGGGGCCAAGTCTCGCGGGGCGGACAACGCGGAGCTTCTCAGGCACGGCCTCATCAGGCTGGCTCGCGAGGAGGCGGAGAGATCAAGGCGGGGTACCTCACGAGGTGCCCGTGACGCAAGCCATGACGACCAAGGGCGCCAGACGGGTGCCAGCCCGCGCAGTGTCCTCCTTTCCCCTTTGGTGCAAATGGGGCAAGCGCAGCCGTGGAGTACCGAGGCATCAGGCAAAGGTTGCCATTTCGGTGCAACAAGACCAAGACCAGGAGGACTGCAAGACGGAGGTCATTATGGAGCCCAAGACGGCGTCACCACCAGAGCTTTGTGCAGGCGAAGACTACTTTTGTCAGGATAACTGGTACTAGCTGTCCCCTTTCAAATTAGCCCGCCATTGTTGGCTCCCTTCCCGCTCGATATTTGGAAAGAGGACCAGGGCCTCTATAAATAGGACCAGCCACCCGCAGGATGGAAAGAGGGGGGGTGAGAGGTTAGAGGTTGGAGAGAGGCATCATCAGTTGTGAAGAGAGAGAGAAGGGTGACTGGACTCCTCCCAGCAGTTCATCGCCCCAGCCAAGAACAGACCCTCGCGAGGCTGTTCTTCCTTGTATTGTTCGTCACTATCAGCCCAAGAGGCAATCCACCACACCACACACTGGAGTAGGGTATTACATCACAACGGTGGCCCGAACCAGTATAAACCCTGTGTCTCTTGTGTTGTTCTTTCCATAGTTTAGATCTTAGCGTGGCGGAGGGGTGCAGGTAGGTAGGAGGCGAAATCTCCGCGCGCACCTCAGTGTTCGAACCTCAAGGGTCTGCCGGAACCCGAAATCCGACAGCGGTGGCGCCAGCCGGGGCAGGCGGAGGCGGACTTCGGGCGGTACAACATCCGGTGCGTGGTGCGCACCATCTACGTGCTCTTCTCCGGCCGCGAGATCCCGGCCGCCGAGCAAGGCCAGGAGGCCATGGACCTAGCCGACGGCTCCGCGCCCCTGCCGGAGTGGTTCACCGAGGAGGACCTCGACGTGTACGCCGCGCTCTACGAGAACTCCGGCTTCGGGTACCCGATCAAAATGCCGTACGGGTCGCTGGACAAGATGGCCACCCAGCTGGAGGCCAGGTTCGAGGTGCCGGTGCTGATGGTGATGGGGGAGGACTACGTCATGAAGCTGCCGGGGTTCGAGGCCGCCGTGAGGGGCGGCATGATGGCCGGCTTCGCGCCTGACCTCAAGGTCGCCTTCGTCCCGGAGGGCAGGCATTTCGTGCAGGAGCAGTTCCCGACGCAGGTTAACGAGCTCCTCCTTGGTTTCTTGAAGGATCACCCGTGATCCTGGGCGTGGTGGGGATGACACTGTTTACAGTAGTGTAGTTGCAACTGGCAACGGTGAACGGTCGCTTGCCTTGCACAGCGACCACCACGTGTATCATTGAAGCAAATATCCAAGTCCAAATGCCCATGTATACATTTTTCATCCCAAGTCTTATTCGATGTCAACCAAAATGTGTGTCCCTGACCCGGCGATTACGGCTTGGTTGAAGCATTCGACTTTAGGTGTTGGGTTTTGGTGTGAGGTCTGGGCATGCGGCCTGGACAAAACGCACCTCTTCATCAAGTTGATAGGAGTAGCGACAGATGGTGCCAAGACAGTGGTTTCAGACTTATTGATGTATTACTTTATAAGGCCTTAGTGAATAATTAATAAAATGGTTGTATGCATCGCCTTGATGAAGAGGCCGGGGTCATCCTTCTTTTCGAAAAAAAATCATTGTATTGGAGAGATGTAAGTTTGTAAGTTATTCTAAAGTAACAAAATAAACTAGTGAAATAATGTTCCTTCTTATCTTATTCCCTCTCAGCTCATCTGAACAAACAACCCACAATTTGTCATATATGAAAACAAATTCAATAAAAAGACATATACAACCCACCATCTATCATTAGCTATTCTTGGAAAGTGTCTGACTAGCCTATAGACCAATGAACATTTATATGTTTGTACATTTTGCCTTCCACTGCTTCTTTTAATTTTACCTTTTTACGAGTAGAGATACATTTCTGTTGCATTGTATAAAAAATGATTTGCATGATTTGAGTTGTCATGTGTGAGGTTGTCCTTCTTGAACTAAAGCTTATGAGGGACAAGGAGGAAGTTTCTGTGCCTCAAGGGTCTCGAAGTAAAGGAGTTGTCCTATGGACAACCTCTACTCTCCGTCGTGCTAACATATTATCTTTTACAATAAGGCTTTTGCCAACTCTTCAAGTGCAAACAAATCAAACTTGGCCAACTACACTTGCAATGTTAAAGATGCTTTGAAAATACTGCAAATTAAGATTTGGTATCACTAAACTTAATATAAGTTGTCCTTTACATTTTAATAGGTTATAGTTTTGTCGTACTGCACAAAAGCATCAACCGTAAGTGAGGCCAAATAACTTGCCTTGGTTAATACGTCAAGTTCAGTATGACTAGGATAATGTAGAGGAAGGAGCCGAGATAGAATACAAGTGTTATATCTTATGGTTTTGACGACGAAGCTGATTAGAACACCTTTTCTCGCCAGCAAAAATGTGGATCCACGAGGTGCTGTGTTGTTGATAACTTGACCCGGAAGGGAAGGGGAGCGCATAAGGGTCAAATGTTCCGAAGGACATTGCTGTGACATCGTGATATGCTTACCCTTTGCTGTATTTAATGTGTAGTGTTGTGTGAACATCAAAGTAGCGGAATGAATGTATTAGATGTGTATACGTGTTATGTGAACATCCCTAATCATCCTTTAGAGCGAGGGATTTGTTATCGGAGCGAAGGTCCAGCCCATGTAGCTCTTTCTAACTAGCTCAGTCTAGATAAAAATTAACCCATGAGCCAAGTTCATGGACTAATATATTACATTTTACAAATTTTTATGGAAAGTTCATATATCTCATGTACAATTATCTTTTTTCGCTCATGTGAAGCTCTAGAATGATTTCCGCAAAAAAACCCCTCTAGAATGATAATATCTCATACTCCCTTTGGGACAAGTTTTTTCTGAACGAAGGAAGTACGAAGATACAAGTGAGTGGAGTATCTAAACTCATGTTTTATGCATAACTCCATTTACTTGAAAACACTTAAAAAATTTATTTAAACTATGCAATAGAGGCCTGATCGTACTCCGGATCGGGCCAAGGTAGGCTTAACAAAGGAGTCCGAAAATGCCAACCCCAAACCTGACCCAAAACACATGAGTAGTAAATTTTGCCCCATCTTCTAAAAAAAGTAATTTTTGCCCCTTCAAGATTCGATTATTTAGATCTGATGAGTTTATATTATTGTGTCAAGCATTTTTTGTTAGTCTAATTCTTTATGGAAGTGAAATCTTACATCGACATCATGGTGAAGATGTAGTGATTCGACGGCCTGCACTTCTAGAGGATCATCCCTGGCTCAAGTACGTTCATCGTTCGTGCGGGCGAAAGAGTGACAACACCGTTGCTCCAGTCCAATTGTAGATTCTTTATCAAAGTCTTTGGAGTATTTCTTCGAGCAGAGATTGATACCGCGAAGAAGGTGATTTTAAGAGATTTCATTGTAATTCTTAGTCATAGGAGTTACTTTGCATTTTTTTGAATTTTAGATCCAAATCAGTGTACATGTAATTGTTTTTTTTAACATCAGTACAGACACAAGCGTTCATATACACTCGCATACACTCATCCCTATAAACGCACACACACACCTTACCTCTATGAGCACCTTCTAAAGACTGAGCCGACATATCATCTTGAGATTTACGAAGTCACTGTAGACGCCTCGTCGTCGACGGGAACGTCTCCTCCCACTTTGTTATGAGTATGAATAAAGTTACAAATGTTTCTAAAAATGTAGTTTCTGCCCCTAAAAACATGACTAGTATTTATTCCTCAAAAAAGTATGAATAGTAATTTTATTATTATTTAACTGAATTAATTTTGGATTATTTAAATACATTATTATACCTGTTTTCTCCCCTAAAATACCGACGTCCCAGTTTCGAGTTTTTTCCGAGCTTCTGGGCCAGGCTTTGGGCGAAAAAGCTAAGCACGAGTCGGGCCCGGATGCCGGGTTTTCGGCCCTGGGCCTTTTACCCGGGCTTCCCTCAGGTTTACCCGTGACTTTTACAATCTACTCCTAAGAAATTCCTTTTACCATTCGCTCGAAAATTTGTCTAAGAAAACCATTCGCTCGAAAATTGCCTAAAAAAATCGCTCGAAAAATAAAAATAATTCCTTTTATTATCAGAAAAACAGTCTCGTATTCTCCCGAAGCCGCACATAACCAGGCCGCGTCGCACGGCCGTCTTCCCCGTTCTCCCCCCGCCGCTCCCCCTCTCCCCCGCCGTCGCCTGCTCGCCCCCGCGGCGCAAGGCGGTGACCCTGCAGGACGATCGGAGCCGCGTCGCTCTTCGCCTCCTCCGCTCTCCCTAGCGGCGAGTAGACCGAGACGCGGAGGCCTCCCCCGGCATCGCCCGCAATGTTGCGCCGGTACGGGCACCGACCTAGGTTTCCGCCCCGCCGAATTAGGGTTTCCACGCCTAATGCCCTGCTCTCTCTTCCATTGCAGGTGCGTGCGGGATCTGTACCCGCTGCGGTCCCTCAGGAGGATCCCCAGGCCGATCTCCAGCGAGGTAATCAAGCGTCCCCGTTATGTCTCATGGCTCGATCCCCATTAGGACGGTCTCTGGTGGTTGCAGCTGGTCGAATTGCTTGCTCTGGTAGGCGTGTGCTGGGCTGAGAATTCGGTTGCTTGTGAGAGCTTACCTGGGATTGGTAGATTCGTTGATTAAGCTGCCAGTGGAGGGGTTGTGTTATGGGTGTTCATGTCTGATTAGTTTTTGGGAATGCTGCTCGTCCTGTCATTTGTTTTAGTTAACATAGCCCGTTTGTGTTCATCTGATTTGAGATGAGATTAACTAAGGGCTGTCTGTGTTTGGAGCATGATGCTGTGGTACATGTGGCAATGTTTGGAACTTAATATGAGTTGACATTAGCTTAGTTGGTAATGAAAGAATCCAATTAGATTGGCCTGACATGAATCATGTATTTTCTACTTATTTTGCTACATATGCGGTTTGTATTATTTTTCGTACGGAACACTGATTACTCGCAAACCCTTGATGAATGCTTCTAGAAGGAAATAGGACAACACCTTCTTGTGATACTTTGTAATGTTATGTTGTTACTTATTCGTTAGTAATATTGTCAGTGCAAACGCAAACTTCTACTGCGAGTTGATCGGACCTGTCAAAAGCCATGTCTATGTTTTTTATTCCATGTGCTCATCACATATATTTACATAAATGCTGTGATTTTCTATGTGCAATGAATGCACACAATTTATGTTATTAGGTTTGTAATGCTTTTGCAACCGCCTTTCCTCATTCCGTTCCTTAGCTTTGGAAGTTTGCACAATAGTTGGGAGTATTTTTGCATTTTTTTCTCTTTCTGTTGCTGATAGGCCTGAAGTGCAAGAAAGTGACAGAATAACCTATTTATCAGGTCCAAAGTCCAACATTCGGTCAGCTCAGAAGAAACTCAACAAAAGCATCCCAACAAGGTTCAGCACAGAAATCTGTCCCTGGACCTAAAGAAGAACCTTCTAAGTCTGGAAGCAAGGTTCCAAAGCTTCTGCTTGGAACTCTGCTTGTTGGTGCTGCTGGTATGGCCGCTTATCAAGCTGGCTACATAGACCTTCAGTTTATGGATGAAAAATTGCCTTCGACCATCAGGGAACAAAATCTCACAAAGATGTATGAAAATCTGAAGTTCCCTTTTGAACAAAAGGTTGATCAGAAACAAACCATGTTGGATCCAAAGAATGACATTGTTCAGGATACACCCATGGTCCTTCCAGCTGAAGGGATTCCAACTGCCAGTGAGCAGCCTACTCCTGCAGAAGAAAAAGAAACAGAAACCGTAACCCAGGGAACACTGCCAGTTCAAGATGAGCATGGTGCTGATACTAAACTGCCGTCTCAAGATACTCTCTCTGTTGATATAAAGCCAAATGTTGTAAATAAGGCAGCAGGTGAAGTTCCTCTTGGACAAGCTGACAAGATAAGTAGCACAGTTTCTCCAGTAGAATCAAGCCCAACAACGGCTGAAGTACAAAAGGTTTGAGTTCGTCCTGAACTTGTTATATAACCACCGATTTATCATCATTTGCATGTTGATTGGTATATCAAAGTACTTATATTTTCTCATTCCAAATTGGTAATTCGATGGATTCTATAGGCTTAACAAGGATTACTGTGTTGCTTTTAGTTTTTATAGATTATACACTGTAGAGGTTATGCCATATGATTTATGCAGAAGAAATATCTAGAAATGGAGATCTGAATGAAATCCTCCAGTAATCTAGTTTTAAAAAACATGATTAGTCATGCAGCTGTCACAGCTTGTTGTTTAACAGTACTATCATCTATCTATGTTTGTGATTTCTGAATTTTTTATTCGATTGGAATTTGACATTTAGAGCTGGCGCTCTTGAGCAATTTTGAGTTGATAGTATATTGACTTTGAGTTATATCACTGTGAAGTTTAGAACCACTAGATTGTAAGTTACATTTTAGTAACACACCACCAGTTGTTCCATGTAGCAAAACCTGACGAAACTTTTTTTATGTCTGTATTTTTGCATGATGCTGTTTCTAAGTATATATTGAATAAGGACGCTGGTAGAATCGTCTAATTGATAAATCCTTATCTGTAGGATCCATTAGGTGCTGATGTAGGTGAACATAAATCTCTTGCTGAGACATATTTACTACAGGAGGAGCATGATATTCCTAAAGATGTGGTATGTATTCCCACCTTTAAAAATTGGACAATACCAACATTGGAAGAAATACTTCCTATTGATGGAGAGGCTGCTAGAAATAAGTTGATGACACTTAATATTCATATTTCAATGTTTACTTTATCTATTTATGTTGTTAAACAGAGTGCTAAGGAGACTAAAAGTGATGGCATTGTTGGTGGTGTAAAAGCTTCCGATGATGGGAAAATTATGCTGGATATTATAGATGCTATTCATGCCGCTGAAAAAAAGCAGGCAGATACAGATGCTTACACGTATTCTGAAGAGAAAAGGAAGTTGAAGGTTTGTTATCCATTTGCACGTGATGTTTCTACTTAGCCATGGTCGTTGCTTTGTACACATCAAGGATTAGCAGTAGCATAGCATGCCTATGTATTTTTTTGTACAGTATTGTTTTCCTCCTGTTGAGCTGTTTCAGTTCTCATGGACATCCAGCAGTTCCATAGCAGCTGCAGTGCTGCTAAATTAGTTCATGTTTTTATTGATAATGACAATAGTCATTGAACCTTTTGAGCATATATACTCCCCTATTAAAAAATAAGAGCATATTATTCTCCAACACTACAAGGCTTGCAAATTTAATGACACTTTCTTCTTTTTGCCCTAGTTTGTTTCCCCCCTTTCTTCGACATTTATAACTAAACACTGCTACTCCCTCTGTTCACTTTTGTAAGTCGTTTAAGACAGCTGAAATTGAATTGTTTTAGGTGCTGTCTTAAATGTCTAAAAGGTCTTACAAAAGTGAACAGAGGGAGTATTAATTTATCCCTCTCTTATTACCAAGACATCAATACCATGGATATCATGTTTACTTCCCTTTACTTCTCTTGGTTTCATACCATTCCCAATCCACTCGTAGCAAACAAAGTAACACCTTACATCTGAATGGACGGAGTAGCACAGAGTTGACAGTAATAATTTTTTCTTGGGTATGCTTGTGTTTTTTCAGGAAAGATACGAAAAGGAGCTGAAGGATACGAGGGCCCGGGAGCTCATGTACGCTGAAGAGGCAGCAATTCTGGATAAGGTGAGTCAGGCATGCCTTTTCTGGTTTCCTTATGCACGCTCAAGTCATGTGTACGCTTGTATGTTTCTTCAGTGATGAGCCAGTTTGCTAGATGTAAAATTGGTAATATTATTGGAAATTTCATGAAAACGACAATATATGGAAAATCTTTTTCATTGTTACGTTGAGATGGCACTAACGTGATCAATCCAGGTATTTCTATGTATATTTCGAGTGTTCCACCCAACAAATATTGCGTCGACGTACGTGTAGACGTTGAAGGAGTAGTAGTTTAACAATATTTCTCAAATGTTAGTGAAATATGGATTAAATAAAATCAAAACATCAGAATTATATCTGCACAATGTGCATGCTTTTCTTCACTCTTGTCAGTGTATTTTAGTATGCACTATACTTGTATATAGTATCTTTTGTCTGTGTTTTAGTTTCAGATGATTGCTTTAATTTTGTGGCATTTTGAATTTCATGATGTTGCTTCAGGAGCTGAAGAAAGAGAAAATGAAGGCTGCTGCTGCAGTTAAAGAACTTCAAGAAAAAACTGAACAAAAGCTGATGGATGAGCTGCAGCGGAAGGTCTGTCAGATGTGCTTCGGTGTGCCATATTTTTTCTACCCTCCTTACATCAATTCTTTATGTGACTGTACTATGACTGACATAATAGGATGAGGAAGCAAGTCAACAAGTTGAGAAGGTACAAGAGTTGGCAAAAGCCGAACTGGCCGCAGCTCTTGCAAAGGAGAAAGCATCCCAGATCGAACAGATTGCTGAAGCAGATCTCAATGTATGAACCTGTACCATCTTTTCTTTTACGATGATAGGCAATGTTGTAAACAGCCTTATGAGGTTGGCATACTGCAACCCCAGTACCCTATACCAATACTTCAGGAGATGCGCGTGATAGTAGCACGTGTCTCTCAAATGCGGTTTGCTGAATTGAGCGGTTTCCTTGAAAGCTTTAGTGGTCGCACAAAAATGGTAATATCTATATACTGCTGGAGTCTCCCCTACAGCTTTCATTAAAAATACAGATTATCTTAAGATCATGTGGACATATCAATTGAGTAAGTGCACTCCAGATAATTCTTAGAGACCATGGTACTAGAACATGCTCACTTGCAATGAACTAAGGAGCAAGCGAATTGGTTGAATAGTGAAATTGGATGGATTTTATTGCAATCAAAGGCAGAACATTATCTAAGAAGGGACTGTTTTCCTTCTTTTAAAATAATAGGCGATCTTTGTTTGTTCTATCTTCCATGTATACATCTTCCATTGCTAGACAATTTGTGCAGTGTGTACAGTTTCAGCTTGCTTGCACTTGTTTACTGCCTTTTTGGGTTTATTTTCAGATAGATGCTTTGTGTATGGCATTCTATGCGCGATCTGAAGAAGCTCGGCAGAGTCATTCTGTTCATAAGCTTGCTCTAGTAAGTATTTCACTTTGATCCCATCATGTACTCGCTTCGGAAGGCTGGAAGCTTAGTTATTATTGTCTAATCCTCTGCTTTCAGATTTCTAATGACATAATTCTTAATTCTCTGCAGGGCACTCTTGCTTTGGAAGAAGCTCTATCCAGCGGCTCGCCAATCCGGACAGAGGTCGATCAATTGCGTAAATCTCTTGAAGGTATTGATAAAGATTCACTGTTAGAATTGGCTCTTTCATCGCTTCCAGAAGATGTTCTCAAGTATGGATCAGATACCCAGATGGAGTTAAAACAGAAGGTAGGTTTTGTGCTGCAATAAATGTTCACATCTGCTTACAGCTTTTTATTTGTGTAATGTACTGTTGTTTAATATGAACTCAGTGTGAAAACTCAAGTAATAGTAATGCATTCCTGATTGTTGTATCATTTTGAATATTAGAGATTGCTATTTACTTGCAGATGTTAATTACTTGTTTTGTTTGTAAACACATACAAGTCGTTTCAGATAGGGGCACACCCTGCAACACACACCTTTCACATCCATACCTTTGACCATTATTTTTCTAGTTATATGTAGAATAACTATAATGATCTGCAAGTACTTTTGATGCCCAAAACAATATTCATTCCCATTTGAGAACCTGAATACTTGGTAAAAGCATTGTTGAGGAAATCGTTAACTGGTAGCTGCTCGGTGGGCTGGTGAGTAGGGGATTAATAGGCTAATCGGCAAGTTAATCGGCCATTTAATCAGTTAATCGGACGATTTATCGGGTAATCGGCTACTCGGGGACCCTATGAGTAGGGATTAATCGGCAAGTTAACTGGTTAATCGGATGAATTCTTGAACAGGGGGTAAAAGTCATATCTCTATTAATCATGCAATGATGTACTGTCAGTTGTCATGACACTTATTGAGCAAAAACTAGTCTGGCTACCCTTACCATCATTTCTTTTTGCAGTTTAATTCCTTGAAGGCAACAGTCAGACATTTCGGTCTTATACCATCAGGTGGTGGTGGTATACTTACGCATGCTGTCGCTCATGTTGCTTCTAACATCAAGGTGTGTTGATACAGGCAACTTTCTACTGGTCAATGAGAATTCTATATTGTGGAACCTGAAAATTTTGTATCTGAATCTTCTGATCAAGAGCTATCTAATGCTACTATTTATTCAAAGCATTATCTAATTTCAAGTCCAGACATTGTATTGCCTCCACATTTTTCACTTGTACTCCCTCCGTTTCTAAATATGTCTTTCTAGAGATTTCAATATGGACTACATACGGAGCAAAATGAGTGAATGTACACTCTAAAATATGTCTATATACATCCGTATGTAGTTCGTATTGAAATCTCTAAAAAGACTTATATTTAGGAACGGAGGGAGTAATAGTTGTCCTAGTTGACCCCCTGGGTTCTCTCCACCAGGCTTGATAGAGCATGGTTATCCTTTGGACTCCTTATAGCAATGGATCCTTCTGGCATGGTTACAATCAGTGATCATCTTATTAGTAAATTCGGCCGTCCTTAATAAAAAATACCTGCACTGATGAGATACTGTTGAAATTACAAATTATGCTTCTAAATCTGTTGCAACTGGTTTCAGGTCGAAGAGGACCCATCTGGAGATGGTCTTGAGTCTCTCATAAGCAGAGTGGAAGACTTGATTGTAGGAGGAGATTTGACCGCAGCAGCCGACGCCCTGACAGGAGGGTTGCAGGGGACCGCAGCGGAGGAAGCAGCTGCCGAGTGGGCGAAGCAGGCAAGGAAACGCGCGATTGCAGAGCAGACGCTCACCCTGCTTCACTCGTACGCTTCTTCGATCACATTTTCGTGATCTCGATCATTGATGGATCTTTTTTTTCTTCTATTTGGCAAGATTTACATGCCAGCGCTGCAGATTTCACGATACTCACATGTTTCTCTATACCATGTCGCAAATGCATGGTCCTTGTAAACAGAGATAATAAATTTTGCCGTGTAGCCACTTGGTATTGTGATACTCCAGTCGCCAGACAAGTTTGGATAGATATGTCAAACCTTTTTTTCCTTCTTTTTACTGAAAATGTGATGTTCGTGGTCTAGCTGCTATGGCACAGTGTAAGGTTGCAGGGGGAGGAACGCTTATGTTGCATGCAGGAATTTCCTCACTGCAAGTGATCCACTGAAAGGTTTGAGTTCAGTACCTCTTTAATGAGGCTGGGCACAGAATAGCCGCTCTGACCATATATAATTCGGGCTTGGAAAACAAAAAATTCCTGTGTAGAGATTACAATTTTATCAGTCAGAGTGCTCTTATATCTCAGTCCGTCACTTTACTATCTCTTCCAACAGGGCTCGGTTGCAACTATTGTTCAGGTGTATGAGCAACATGATTGAGCGAGTATTGTTTTTTGAGAAAGGAACAAAAGACTAAAACGCTTAAATGCACGAGTTTCTAATTCAGTGCTCTGCATCACATACTGCGCATCCTACTTATCAAAGAATCAATAGCTTCAAAGTATTTTGTTCTTTGAGAAAACCTAAAAGCTTGACCTCCAGACCACCATGCTTCGAACCAACTGTTGTGCTCCACCTCCAGCACCGCGGTAGGCAAAGGAGGGATCCAATGCGTTTTATATTCACACGACCGCGGTAGGCAAAGGAGGGATCCGACGCGTTTTATATTCAGACGACCGCGGTAGGCAAAGGAGGGACAGCAGGTCTTCCAGCACAGCGTCCTCTAGCTGCTCGCCGGCCCGCGTCTCCGCGACCATTGTTTAGACTAGCCACAATGGGTGTTATTAGTCTATGTTACTACCTCTATAGTGGGGAGTAACATATGTGTGGTAATATGGAGCCCTTCATTTATTAAGCTATAGACACATTTTGCCTTGATATGTGTGATGTTACTCATACTAGTTATGTTACTACTTTCATCTCTTTCTTCATTTATTGCATATGCCACATCACCTATTTAACCTAGATATGTGTGATGTTACTACCTATGTTACTCCCATTGTGAGTAGTCTTATATCCAGACGGAGGGAGTGATGAACATCTCTAATTATTTTAGTATGCAATATCACTCATACTAATTAAACAACCATGACAATAACAAATAATTTCAATCTCAAGTTTCTTAATAGGACATTGTCGGCCCAGTGGGAACCAGAGTACCACGAGCCGTTTGCCTGCGGCCCAGGAAGCGACACCAGGTGAAGGACTCAAGAGGCGACCCAACCATGGGAGCCACGACGTAAGATGACTCGCGAGGGCCATGCCTCGTGAGGACCCTCTCCGCGAAGCAAGCACTACCGAAAACCGTCTCCCACGGCAGGTAGACTCGCGAGGCCTGTCTCATAAGGCGGCCTCCCATGAGGCCCTCTGTGGGGGGAAGCTGCGCGACATGGATCACGTAGCTACGTACCCACCACATGGGTGACACGCCTGCGCAAGATGACAACAGTAGGGGCCATGCCAGTAGGCGCGGTCAGGGGAGGTTTCCTTTTTGGTGATAAAGGAGCAGCGGCGGCTACCTCCCCCCCAAAGCAAGTTCCAAAGCCTACCACTTCGGTGCGAGAAGACCAGGAAGACACGACGCACTAGGGCAGATGTCATCGGCGAGCTCACCAGCGCGTCATGGATAGGGTCTTTTCTAGGCGGAGACTGCTTTTGTCAGGATAGGACTGAGCGTCTGCTCCCCTTTGAATTGTCATTGTGTGGCAACCCTTCCCGCCAATATTTTCGAGGAAGAGGACCCAGGGTTTTTCGAGGGTTTCCCTTAGCTCAAACCTCTCCCTGACAGACATACATCTATTAACATCTAACAATTCAGACAAATTAGCGGGCATGGCCATCAAGAAAGTTAAAATAAATAAATCAAATGCACTAACTCTGATAATCACACATTAAACCCTAAATAACATCTTATCGTTTTCACTAGGGACGATCAGAGTATGGTGTCCCTGCTAGCTAGGGATGACATGATCTCTTCTTTTGTTACCCCACAAAATGTGTTGATCATTTCACTCCCTCCCGCCCAACTGTACAACCTTTTTCTAGACATATTGATACACGAATCAACATTAAGGCTAACAACGATAGGACCGTATAGACGCCACTACATATGACAACCATATATATTGCACCGTGAATAGTGAAGAAACATGTGTTGTAATAGGACGTAGGTAGAGTACACTCAGGCATGAACTGCCGCAGTCCACTCTTCCTCACTCAGGGCTGGTGTGCCTGCATGGCCGGCTGCAGTGAGTGCATGCATGGCTGATTGCATAGTCATTTAGCCAATACTACATAAATACAATGATAGTAAATCGTGCCCCTGGGTCAATAGAGTATTACCGCTTCACTTGTTAAATAAGAGAAGTGATTTTTCACTGCCATTATCATACCACTACTAGAAAAAGGCCTACTAATGGCGCACCAGTTTTGCCTACTAATGGCGCACTCTGTAGTGATGCGCCATTAGTATGAATATTAGATTTTTTTTTACTTTTCTGATTTTTGCACAGGTTACAAAATATATTAGCACACAGCAACAACAGATTCACCGAATACAATAGAAGATTAGTCTCCGAATACAATTCATCATATTAGTCTCCGAATTCAAAAGACTGAACAAAGATAAAACATTACAAGTCCCGAGACCGCGAGTATCGAGTTTGTCTTCACATTACAAGTCGATATCGATCATCTAAACTACCATCACATAGAAGAGAGCTGCGGTCATCACGATGAGCATCATCGCGATGAAACTGGTCTTCATCCGGTTCCTCCAACGCTCCCTCCTCTCTCCCGCTAGACAGCGGGCGTATCTAGATTCCGCCTCCGCCCTAGTGGTGTACCCTTTGTAACTGTTACCGTTGAAACGGTGAACCTGTCTCCGACACTCCTCCCAGTCGTCGTAGACTCCGGGAACCTTACCCTTGTACACGACATACGACAACATCTCTATGCACAAGCCAAACAACAGACAATACATACATAAGCAATATATAAGTATGCAACAAAATGATCGGAAGAGAAAAGTAAGACATTAATAGCACGATTCATGGTCCTACTAATAAATAGCATCGATTACATCTAAGTTGAACGACTGTCCAAACCAAAGAGACCTACAATTCATTAAAGTTTAATTACAACATGAGCCAATCAATGTTTCAGAACTACACATCACTACTTTCGACTCGACTCATGGACAGGAGCGTGGATGAAGCCGCCGTCTATCGTGATGGTCATGAAATCGCGGGCGTTGTCAGCCTGCATTTGTAGCATTCCGTCTATCTCAATGTTGAACGGTTGATATCTGAGGAAGAACTGCCCCGAGGTATGAAGGACATCTTGATGGATGATGTCCGCAAACTCCGACTGGATGCGAAAAAAATTCTTGTCTGATGTCCGCGTCCTGGATTGCCGACAAGCTCGCGGCCCAATCTTTGAGATTATTTGGTAGCAGAAGGTGATGATGGTCCCTAATGATCGCCCACATGTGATGGAAGGCGTAGTAGGCATCCTTCTGACCGCCAGGCGGCTGCTTGACGCAGCAGAACATCGTATTGTGGGCGAACACGTGCTTGCCGTACTTACGAACTGCCCTGATGAAGGTGCCTCCAGATTTGGCGTAGCCGGGGAGAACATCATCAAGAACTTTCTTGATATTTGTGTAGTCTATCTTGGAGTTACGGTTCGGGTCGAAATACGTGGCCATGGAATATTTCAGGCTTAAGAGGATGAGTGTGCAATGTGTGTCACTGCACAGAACACGGAATGTTAGAAAAGAAAAGAACGATCAAAATCTAAGAAATCATATGTTACGGGGCGGTTAAGGGATGACTTACTCGGGAAAGTAAGCCACAAGGAAGTTATCCTTATCTGGGTTTGCCAGAATAACGTCTTCGAGGTGTGAACTCGCGACTTGGCGGTCCCCAGCGCTGCTCAAGAGCTTGGCACGCATGTAGAAGGGGTCGACGATCACGATGTCCGGGGTCTTGTCTCTAATGATCCGCATCTCCATACTCAGCGAAAACAGCCGAACGAAGGTGTAGTGCAGTGGATGAAGGTTGAACATAGCAAAGATGTCATCAAACCGCAGGACGATTGTACCCCCAATGGCGCCATCCACAAAGCCCTTGCCCTCTAGCACCTTGGCCACGAAAACCGGGTATGCTACATCATTCTCTCTGAGACGCCGCTTCTCCAAAGAAAAAACACTGTCGTGCAGACTCCGCATAGCACCGGTTGCAGCATTGAGCATATTTGTCGGTAGCATCGCCCTACCCGCCACATGCACCCTCCTCGAGATATCCTTAGGTGAAGGTGGCCCGTCCTGAGCACGGATCGTACTCGGTGCCGGCTGGCTCGCACCGGCGGCCTTTTTAGTCGGCCGTTTCCGGCCCTTCTTCTTGATCTGCTGTAATGGGACCAAGTTCTGCTCACAGACCGCCTTCTTGAGCGTGTTGGGGCTGATAATATTTGGCACCTCCGCTATCTGAGGCTCGGTGAAGGCGGCAGCTGGAGGCGTCTCCTGAGAACTGAACGCCAGACGACGCCTGTTGCAATTGGGTTTCTCCGCCGTACCAGCTAGATCGCGGTCGTCTTGTTTGGGTTCTTGAGAAGGAGGCCCGCAGAACTCGTCACCGTACCCATGTTCGACAAAGTACTTATCGACGTTGGTAAATGTACCATCGTCGTTGTCGTCGTCGTCCGGATCCTGTGCCATAGGGATGTCCGACATGTCCGGTAGCGTTGCGGCGCTCTTGCCATGGCTTGGCGCCGGCACGACTGGCGGTCTTGTCTGTGGGGTGGTGTCCCCCGCCCCCAAACGAATGTGGCTCTTCG